GTCTGTCTTTCTGCTCCACAATCACAGGCAGCAGATTCTTTTATGCCTATCCTGTACAGGTGTGCTCGAAGACCACAGTGTCCAGTCCGAAGTCTAAAAATTGTTGTTTGTTCTTTCCTGTTGAGTTTGTTTATGCTGTCACTCTCTGGTCTGTAATCTCCATTCTGCCTTCTCCACTCCCGCTTGAAAGACTGCTTAAGCACTGTTTTGGTTTCCTTGTAGCTGTGTGGTGGATGAGGTTGTGGAAGATTACTCTTAGCTTTTGCCAACTCATCCGCTCTCTCATTTCCTTGAATACCACAGTGGGCTGGTATCCACTGCAAGACCAGTTCTGCTTCCTTGGAGAGTAAGCCAATGTTGGTCCTTAGATCTGCAATTAGTTTGTCTTGTTTTTTGCTTGATAGTGCTTGGAGAACAGGCAATGAGTCACTAAGTATAACAATTTTGTGCCCTCTGTGTTCTTGATTGATGAGATGTTGGACTGCAGAAAGGAGGACAGTTGCCTCAGCTCTGAAGTTAGTGCAGATGTCACTTGCTGGTAGAGAGAGATTTTCTGCTCTACTGCTAGGGGGTTTAATGTATATTCCACAACACTTCTTTCTGACTGCTTCTGTAGCAAAGCCGTCGGTGAAAACCTGAGTCCAAGTGGTGTTTGGATACTTCTCATCAAGCATAGCAAGAGCCAGGGTTCTCTGTTGTGTCTCCGTCTGGGCATCTTTTGAAGTGATCCCTGGTACCCTTAGGACTACATTTGTCTTCTCTGGCTTGCTTGTCCATGGTTCTGGCCTTAGTTTTTCGCACAGTGCTTTTCAAGCAGATCTCGGTGCTGTCTGTACAGTTCTCTAGTAAGGTGGTTGGGGCTCTGACGCTTCAGTCTGTTTTTTGTTCTCTCTTGAAATTTAAAATGCAGTGGATGACTTTCAAGCCTTTTTAATTTCTCATACTGTAAAAAAGTGTTTTGTATTGTCTTCTGAGTTCGAGTGGTTCAGTATCTGCTATCCTCTCTATCTCTCTGATGGGGGTGGTTTTCATGGCTCCGAGAACAATCCTTAATCCCATATTTTGAACCTTGTCCAGTTTTCCCATTGTTGTCTTGGCTGCTACAGCCCATGCAGTGGAGGCATATTCCATGACTGGCCTGACTGCTCCAGTGTATACTTGTTTTAGGATTCTGGAGTTGGCGCCCCATGTGTTACCCGCTAATTTTTTGCAAAGTCATCAGCATGTAGGGTATTATAAACATTCTGGTGGCAGGTTGCTGTGATATCATTTATGTAAACCAGGAACAGAGTTGGTGCTATCGCACTGCCCTGAGGAACTCCTTCTCTTAGTTTTGCCAGTTTGCCGATGTGTCCATCAATTCTGAATCTGGCTCTGCGTTGGAAAAGAAAGTCTTTGATCCACTTGTATATGTTGTGCACAACCCCTGCCTGTAGCAGTTTTAGTTGTAGGCCTTCTTTCCAAACTGTATCGAAAGCACGAGAGAGGTCAAAGAAGACAGCAAGAACTTAATTTTTTTCCTGGAAGGCATTCTCAATTTCCTGTGTCAGATATGTCAACTGGTCCTCTGTATTTCTGTGCTGTCTGTATCCTGTCTGGGTGGTGGTGATTACTGAGTTTGTCTCCAAGAGCCATATTAGTCTTTTATTTACTAATTTCTCCATCAATTTTCCTACACAACTAAGAAGGCTGATGGGTCTGTAGTTTTTTGGGTCTCTTCTATCTCCACCCTTTTTAAGGATAGGCTGGATGAGAGCTTCCTTCCAGGCTGACGGTAACACCCCTTTTTACCGGCTCTGGTTGTAAATGCAGAGAAGAAACTTCTTGGCAGCAGGTCCAAGATGAGAGAGAAATTCGTTTGTAATGCCGTCAGCCTCTGGGGCTTTCTTCATTTTCAACTCTCCAATTCCAACTTCCAGCTCTTGCATGGTAAACTTTTCTGACATGCAGGCCTCGGTTGTTTTTGTGCTAGAGTCTGCTAGAAGAAACTTGGTCTAGTTTCGTACTTCTTTTATTCTTTGCATGGGAATATGAACCTCAGTTTCCTTCTCGTGTGTTTCAGCTAGCACATCTGCTGCTACCTTGCCAGTAACAACTCCATCGTCTGTTAGGAGTACAACTCTGTCTTGTCTCCATTCAGGCTTTTTGTGAGATTCCACAGATGTGAAGTGTCCTTCTCGAGGTTAAATGACGCCATCTTTTTGTGCCAACTTTCCCTCATCTGATTATTTCTCTCTTTGATGAAGGCTGCTTTTGCTTTGTTATAAAGTATTACATTTTTATCTGTCTGATCCTTCTCCATATTTTCCCTCCTGGTACTAAGTTTGGAATGCAGAGTGTCCAGTTCAGGCGACCAGTAAGGTTTAAAGTTTTTCCTGCTGCCTCGTGGTATGTTACCCTTGGCTGCATTTAGAATAATTGTGTTGAGGATCTTCTGTTTGGCATTTATTTCCAGTCTTCTGAAGAAGACTTTCTTCAACATGTCGCCCAAATAGGAAGTGAAAAGGCTCCAGTTAGCCTTCTTGTAGTTCCAGCTGGGAGGGTTCTTTTCCTTAGTAACCTATCTACTTTTGTTAATAGACAGGATTACAGGCCTGTGATCACTGCCACCCAGCTGTTGGCATACATCCCGGCTGGTAACTTTCTCCACATCTTCAGTTGCTATAGCCAAGTCTGGGGTGCTAGTTTTCATCCAGGCTCGAGAGTAGAATGTATCTGGGTGGTCACGATGATTTATAAAAACTAGAGTGTTGCTGATTATCCAGTTTTCTACCTCTTCTCCATTCGCATTGAGGTCTGTCGATTTAACCTATCGTGTCGGAATATTTGGTATCCACTGATTGAGAATCTATGTGCACTTGTGAGGTGAGTCTCTTGGATGCAGCATGTGTCAATATCGTGCTGCTTCAAGAAATTTTGTAGTTCAGTTTTCTTCAGCCTCACTCCCTCAGCATTCCAGTGCATAATTGTTAGTTTGTGTCCAGTTGCATTACTCTGTTCTTCCCTGGTTACTCTAGGAGATTCAGAGGTTGTGGCTCTAGTAGCTTGGGGTTGGCCCCTTCGAGGCAGGGGGCCCAGCGCCATCCCCACCCATCCACGTCCCATGGGAATGACACCATAACGTAATAATGTTGTTTGCATGACCATATCGCTAGTGCGTAGATGTCCGATTTTCAGTCCCGTGCCAAGTAGGCTGACATCTTCCGACTTCGACGGTTGAGGTTTATTTTCAAGATTCTTCCTCCCATAGGCTGATTGCCTTCCAGGGCTTATGAGCTCTGCCTACCCACATTTTCTATCGGGCTTTGTTGCCCTAGCCTTTGTTCTTACGGGAACTTTCCACAAGGCAGTGGTGGTTAACAATCATCTAGTTACAAACAGTACCTTTTGTTGATGATGCAGTCAAATATGTGCTGTATTATTCGACCAGTGTGTCATTCACACACTCCTACACTGTTCAACAGCATCACAAACGACATTGACACATCGGTATTTGTACAGATGCCAAATTTCCAAAAAAGGAATGATGTTTTGTTATTTCATTTCATACTGAAAGGAAGGTCAAGAAAAGATTCGTCACCATCTTGGTGCGGTCGGTGCGCCTAAGTTAGTAGCATAATGAGCTGAGCTATGAATGATGATACTGATACTAAGCTGGACTCAACTCACATCAGTATCACTCACGGATGATAAGGTGAATTACTACTGCCCCAGTGACAAACCTTAAATTAAGCCCCAGCTCAGTGCTGGTACCAGATACACTGTACCAAACTATTTCATTTTGAGATTTTAACAGTCCTTCACAGATGTTTATAGACTTTAAATGAACAAGCTTTTGACACAGTGTGGAAAGATAGCCTTATTGCAGAATTGAAGAGAAGTGGAATCCAAGGAAACATGCTAAGATGGATCCAATCCTTCTCACACAACAATAAAACTAGAGCCACTCTTGATGGCATGCAGAGCACACAAGTGTTGCTTTATCAAGGAGTATCAGAGGGAGGAGTTCTGTCTCCATATCTCTTTCTTGTTTATATCATTGACCTGGTGAAAGACCTCCCTGCAGGAGTGAAGGCTGTCCTTATGCAGATGATTTGGCTATCTATTTCATCAGAAGTGAACAGAATCTGTCCAGAGATGACTATCTGCCATCTACTTGACTGGCATGGACAGGTCATCATTCTGTGCCTCTGGACAGGGCATAACAGACCTATATGCAAGCATATGCACAAGTTTTGTCTAAGTAGTTCACCGTGTGGGCTGTGTGTGCAAAGTTCACAATATATCCTGCAGGTCTGTCCCTTGTACACAGCTCATTAAGAAGGGAATCCTTGCCCAGTTTGTCAACACCATACTCAGAGTTGCATGGAACTCAAGGGAACCCCTTAAAAAGAAGCAATGCATTGTATTACAAAAACTTTTCTATGTGTGTAAATCAATGAGGAACACGAGAAGAAGGAAATGATAGGGTCACTGTGATATTGGCCACCTCATGTCCAAGAAAAATTATCTGGCACCCATTTTTATTAAAGATAAGGTTGACACCAAGATATTCTTCTTCTTCTTCTTCTTCGGGTTCACCAGCTGTAAACTCTGGTGGAAAGTTCTAATTGTTAATCCACTTTTGGACTGTAGTCTTGTTCCAGAACCTAAGTGTTGTGTGTGCATCCGTTTTACAGATCTGACTCATTTGTATGCAGACTGCTGGTTCATTGCCTCTCAGGAAGATGCACTCCGACTTCGAAAGAAGCTCCCAATTAGTCAACTCTTACGACATGCTTTCGGGTAGGCAGTGGGTCTATTTTTGTTTTCCCTATAATAGGGCCCCGGACCCCACACGGGGTACCAAGATATTGATAGAAGACTGGTACTATTGAAAAAGAAAAGGGTGGTTTTCTGTACTGCTCAGGTCTCATTTGTTAACTGTAATAGTTTTAACTTACAGAGCTTTCCTCCTAACTACTCTGTTCTTTTTTCCCTCCTCCAGCTGTAAATACAGCATGGATAATTCTAGCTTATGCTGTACTGTGATCATAGAAGAGCTGTCTGCAACTGGAAATATTGTAGCCAAAACCCAACATCGGAATTTGACACTGACACTAGGCAGAGATGAATTTCGTGAAATGCAGCTAAAAGTGAGTTTTTCCTTATTTTATTTAGTAATTCTGAGATTACATTTTTGTGGGAAAGCTGATCCTTTTAAAATATAGCCTCTTGTAATCTGAATTACTCGTATGAATCAAAAAGCTGAGAAGCATTAAATATATAAAAGTCCGCCAGCATTCACTGTCTCCTAATGTGTGAGTTTGTCCGCAACATGTGTTTCACTAGCAGGATCAAAGATTTGGTGACATGTTTGTGGTTATCACTGTGAAGGTTATCCCTTTTTTGATGTTGATATTTGAACTGCATGCAAACAAACTTATGTTTTTGTGTTCTGCTATTTCGTGAATTCAAGGGTCAGATTATATAGTAATTTTACACCAGCCACGCCGTTCAGTAAAAAAAATGTGCGTGGCAATCCAGTTTTGACCCGCAGGTCACTGTCTGCGCACCCCTGCTTTAAGTTAATGTTCTGGAAAGTAATGATGGCTGTTGACATCACACATCATGGACCGATTGCTCTGTAAGAATCATATTGTTAATGAAACACTGGTGTAAAATAGGTCCGTCACTTGCACCTGTGATGTGGAAAAGTATCAGAGTTGAGATGTGCTTATCTGAAAAGAGTGCTAAGAATAGAAGTGAGCAGGGATACTGGATGGCTTCTTAACCCATGGCTATTCAGCTCTGTTTACTCCTGGTAATCTAAGCTTCACTTTCATAGCAAACGGGTCACCCTCTAGTTGTTCCACTCCTGTGCAAACAAAAAACACACAGAATGTTCATTACGGTCACTTGTGGAAAGATTGACAGACTGCCGTCCCAGCATATGCACTAGCATACACTTGCATTAAAAGCATACGGTAGCTATTGGAAGTGCTAACACAAACAGTCCGACATTAGAAATGCAGTTTTTTTATCAACGGTAGCAGAAGTTAGTAACAGATCAGCAGTTGAACACGCGATCAATTTTAATCACATAAGGGCACCACCAATATTGTGACGACAGGCCACGCGCAATTTTCTGAATCTGCAGTTCACAACACCGCATTGGTCACAGCAGAAAAACATTCCCCATGAAATCCGCAGCTCAAAATTGTGAAAAAGCTGGTTTGGTCACTGAAGCAAGATTTTTATTAAAGTAACTGAGATACATCTTTCACTTTAGTGGTCAGAACTATTAAAATGGAGCCAGACCAGTTTTAGAGCCTCATTGTGAATATCTTTACTATGTTCATGGAAAGGATCTGCTAGCTTCCTACCAGTTTCCCCAATAAATGTCCTTCTGCTTGTTTGCATTGGATTCTATAAATCAGGTTACACAGTTTACAAGAAATGCTTCCCAAATGTGAAATAAACTCCTTGGGAAGCAGACTGAGGGGGTTTGAATTACATTTAATGGGCTTTTGCAACATGCTTTTTAAGGGACAGAGGGGTCTGTTTTATTCTCCCCACATAGAACACACATTATTGACAATCTAAACACATGAGTTTACCATGACTGTTCTATCCATTTAAAACTATGACTGTTCTGCCCGTTTAACAGATTATCTTTCCCAAAAAAGAGAGTAAATACTCAGTTAAAGAAGTGCTGATCCACAAGAAGTTTGTCAGAGATGGGAAAGCTACAATTAAACTGCCAGACTACAAGATACAACTCCTGCTGTCTAACTGTCCTCCAGATAAACTGCTTGTGTTTGTGAAAACATTGCAGGTACTTCTTGTCTTACAGATATTTAATATGTAAATGTGTTGTAAATTACTTAACATTGCAGGTACTTCTTGTCTTACATATATTTAAGATGTATATATGTTGTAAGTCGTGTCTGTGGCTAAGTCAGTGCGAACGCTTCGTAATGCCGGGTTACCGGGTTCGATCCCAGCAGCGGGCCATACGCCTTGCGTTAGTTTTCGACAATGGTATCAGGGAGCCTACCGTCCAGAAAGCAATGGCGAACTACTGGACGTAAATTTGCCTAGTGAAACCAAACACCAGCCAGGGGCTGATGGGGTTGGTTCTGCAACGTCCTGTAAAGAATACACAACTAACCTTTATGTGTTGTGAATTACTTAACATTGCAGGTACTTCTTGTCTTACAGATATTTAAGATGTATATGTGTTGTAAATTACTTAACATTGTAGGTACTTCTTGTCTTACAGATATTTAAGATGTATATGTGTTGTAAATTACTTAACATTGCAGGTACTTCTTGTCTTGCAGATATTTTAGATGTATATGTGTTGTAAATGGCAAACTTATTTACTTACTTAGTCGCTGCTCTTCTACCTTGGGGTGTAGAGGTTTGCCAGAGAGATCGCCAGACTTCTCTATCAGCAGTTTTCTTTCTGGCTTTGTTCCATTCCAGTCCTCTGTCAGTTAGGGACTGTCAGATGTTGTCTTCCCAGCGCACCCTGGGTTGTCCTGGAGGTCTGGTTCCCTGGTTCTTAGCCTCCCATGCCTGCCATGGTGGCCGATTTTCTCCCATTCTGCATACATGTCCAAACCATCGTAACTGTGACTGATCCACTCGGGTTTGTAAGGACTGGGTATCAAGATCTTGACGTATTGTCTGATTGCGGACTTTGTCCCTTCATGTCACTTGGACCACCTTTCTCAGATATCTCATTTCCGAGGCCTGCAACTGGCTTCTGTGAGCTGTTGTCATTGCCCATGACTCACACCCATAGGTCAGGACTGGTACATAGGTAGAGCGGTAAACAGCCATTTTCGTCCTCTTGCCAATTTCTCTTTTGCTAAGAAACCCTCAGTTTATGGCCTGGAAGAGTCTCCCAGCAGCTGCTTTTCGTGTAGCCAGCTCAGTCTTAATGCCTCCATTTCGGTCTAATACAACTCCAAGGTATTTGAACTGGTTAACCTGCTCCAATGCATACTGTCCCATCATGATCTGGTGTTTCTTCTCCTCTCTTGAGATCACCATGGTTTTAATTTTGGAGATACTGATGGTCATCCCTCTCTTTTCAAGCTCTTCCTTCCAGACAAGTAAGTTGGACTGAAGGTGTGCCTCTGATTTAGCTATCAGGGCCACATCGTCTGCAAATGCCAGCTCTGATATACAGATTGGTCTCATCTTCCAGTACCCTACTGAGTACTTCTTTGTCTTCTCCTTACAGGTCTTGATGACATCATCCATCATAAGAATGAAGAGGTAGGGTGAGAGAATATCACCTTGTCTAACACCGCTGGTGGTCTTAAATTCTTCTGACTTTTGGTCTGCTGTTCTTACATAATTTCTGCAGCTTTTGTAGAAACTCTGTATTGCACTGATCAGGGTTGCTATAATGTTTTTCCCCGCCAAGCAGCCCCAGAGCTTGTTCCAGGGTCCTTTGTCAAATGCCTTTTCCAGATCCAAAAAACATAGGTGCATCTCACTCTTATATTCAAGGGTTTTTTCACTCATCTGTCTCAGTGTGAAGATAAGGTCTTGAGTACTTCGGTTTGCTCTGAAGCCACATTGGGCCTCGTCCAGCTGTGGCTCTACCAGACTTCTAAGTCTCTGCTCGAGAATTCTAGAGTAACTTTTACCAGGAACGCTGAGGAGGGATATGCCTCTGTGGTTTTCACATTGTCTGTTATCACCCTTTTTTTAAATATAGGTATAATGATGGCAATCTCCCAATCTTTTGGTATAGTTTTACTACACCAGGCTGCCTGCAGAACCTTCAGTAGAAGGCGCTCACCTGCGACACCCATATATTTGACCATCTCTGGTGTTATACCATCATGACCTGCTGCTTTTCTCAGCTTAATCTTCTCAATAGCTGCCTTCAACTCTACCATCCTGATGTTATCATCCTCATGGATGATTTCCTTCTCAGCAGTGAGGTCCATTATTTCTGGGTCATGACTTCCTTCAACGCCAAGGAGCTCTGAGAAGTATTCTTTCCATCTGCCCATGATATTATCTGTAGAAGTAAGCAGAGCCCCTTCCTTGTCTTTTATGAATTTCAGTGGGCACTCTTTCTCCTTCCTCATGTTCTTGAGGGTCTTATAGAAAATTTTTTGATTTTCTCTTGCATTCTTTTCCAACTTTTCTCCAAACTCTTCCCATGATTTCTGTTTTGCTTTAAGCACAATATTTTTGGTCTCTGTTCTGAGTGCCACATATTGTTTACATTTCTCTATTGCTTCAGCTGTGTTTCTGGCTGCCAGGTATTGCTTCCATGCCCTTTTCTTTTCTCCTATTTTCAGTTTGACTTCTTCTGTCCACCAAGGTGTCCTATGTCCCCGCCTTCCACTTGGGACGTCACCACATGCTTCTACTGCAGCTGCTGTGAGAATATTCTTAAATCTGCACCAGAGGGTTTCAGTGTCCTCTGATGGTTCTTCTTCAGTTCCTATTGCTTTCACTATAAGCTCCTGGTATCTAGCCCTAATATCTGGCTCTCTTAGCCTGTGTGCCTTAATCCTCATCCCTTCTTGGTTGCTTGGTTTCTTGCATGGTTGTCCGTGTTGCCTTGTTGGAGCAGTTCTTTCAGTTGTTCTCTTTATTGTGACCAGATAGTGGTCACTTCCAATCTCTGGTCCTCTCATGACTCTGGCATCTCTAACAAACGTGAATGAACTTTTCCTAACTATGGCATAGTCAATAATGGATTTTTCATTCTTTGAAGGTTCACATCTTGTGTATGCATGTATACGCTTGTGGGGGAATTTTGTGTTTGTAATGACAAGGTTCTGTTCCCTGCAGAATCTGAGAAGTCGCTTGCCATTATCATTCAAAACATCTTCACCATATCTTCCGATCACTCCACCCCATCTAGAGTGATCATTTCCTACTCTGGCATTTAGATCTCCTAGGAGGATAATTTCATCGTGACAGTCATCTATGGTTCTTTGGAGCAGTTCAAAGAATTCTTCTTTAACATTAACTCGCTCATCTTCATTTGGCCCATACACAATAACAATATTGATATTTTTATCTTCTTCTTTCAGATCTAACACCATAATTCGCTCCAAGATGAATTTCCATCCCTTGATGTTACTAACTTGGTTCCTGGCCACAATACAGCCAACACCTCCCTTAGCTCTCTCCGTCATAGGGACACCACTGTAGAGCAGCATACTTCCATCATGATCTGTGATTCCTTGCCCCTTTTTCTTGGTTTCAGTCAGAGACAAGACTCCTAATTTCGCTTTCCTCATCTCCCCTACTAACTCCTTTTCCTTCCCGTTAATGCCTCTTATGTTCCATGTTCCATAAATCGTAGTCCGTAAGCCATGCCAGTTCGTCGCCGTTAAGATCCGTCCGGTTTTCTCTCTGTAGTTACTTGTAATCATATTTTAAGGCAAACAGGTGATTGGCCTGTTGTGCCTTTGCATGGTGGAGGGGCTACCTCCTTGCGGCCTCCATGCAGGCCGTCTGGCTGATTCACGGTTACCCACTACTTCCGGAGACGCATGAAGCACTCAGGTTCAGCCAGACACTCCTCCTTTTACAGCCGGGCTTGGGACCGGTCTTAGCGGAGTTGTAAATGGCAAACTACTGGGCGTAAATTTGACTAGAAAAACAACAGCCAAAAAATGCTGGGGTTGGTTCTGCAACGTCCTGTAAAGGATACGCAACTAACTTATGTGTTGTAAATTACTTAACATTGCAGGTACACCTTGCAATCACATTTAGTTGTCAAATCATTGAATCATTATAATGGAGATCTGGGAAGACCAATCCTGGCAGCTGACCATTAGTAGAAGTTGGCCTAAAAGCACAAATATCACAGTCATGCTGTGAACCAGACACAATGTCCTTGCATGGATGCCGATTGAGCTCACACAGAATAACCTGTTACATATACATTTCAGTCCAGAAAGTTACTGGGTTCAAATCCCTGCATTTGACTAGAAATATTTACAAGAAGTAGCAGCTTCTAATGGAAGCTCACACCCCTCTGATCTTTGGGTTATGAGTTTAGATACCTAACCCTCTCAGATAAGGACAGAATGTGAGCTCTTGTGTGGAAAGTCCCACTTCCCTTTCATTTTTCTGGTAGAAAAGAACAGCAACAAATATTCCATAATGCTACTGTACCTACAAAACTCTGAACCTTATATAAATGAATGCAAAAGTCAGGCATACGAGTGCTTAGCATTAAATTTAAGAAGTCTACAACCATGTCCGATGCACTTCCTGTGGAAATAAAAACATAAAAATGTTTTTTTATATACAGTTAATTTCAGCTTTTGTGTAAGTGTTGTTTATCTGTTTGACTCTCTTTTATTACCACGCTAATGTTACTTTACCCCATTTCATTTGAAGAAACCTTTACTTTAACTTCTTTTCCTTCTTCGCGTTCAGCAGCTGTAAATTCTGGCGGAAAGTTGTGGTTGTTCATCCACTTCTGGACTGCAGTCGTGTTCCAGAACTCAGTGTTGCGTTTGCATCCGTTTAACAGATCTGACTCATTTGTATGCAGACTGCTGGTTCCTTGCCTCTCAGACAGATACGCTCTGACTTTGAAGGACGCTCCCATTAGTTGACTCTTACAGCATGCTTTTTAACTAAACATGTTTTGGTCTGAGGAGTTAAGAGGGAGTAGAAAAACAGTATGTGTGCTGCCCGGGTGTAGCTGCTAGATGCTCAGTGGATCAGAAGATGTTGCGTTCGGGTCCTGACAGAGCTGGACTTTCTTCTAAAAAAGACCTGGCTCCCTGGTCGACCCAGCCTTGAATGGGTACAGTCCTGGGAAGTAAAGGCGGCTGGCATGATATTCACCACATCACCCACTGAGTGCTGATTCGTCTATAAAATATAGGTCTAGCCCTATATGCCCAATATGCTAGAAGGCCTTTTTACTTAGAAGAACACTGTGGGATAGAAGGAGTTAAGTAACAGCAGGTACAAATGAGATTAGTGTCATAACCAGGTGAATCACAAATGGTCCAGAAATGTGTATAACATGTCAGTGGAAGCCAACAAATATGTGCAGAGCAGCTCGTCATGGGATGAGTCAACTCTGTTCATTGTTATCAGTCATCTTCATCAAATGTCAGGCATGACTGTAAGTGCTCTGATCTCCTCCTGAGCATGTCTGCTAACTGTTTTTAGGCTAACAACTCCCGTTCTGTTCTGGCTGATGTAACGATGGGTGGCTCCCGCATGTTTTTTGGGGGGTTTGTTTTTGTATTGCTGCTCCTCCGGGTACACCCACGGTATGCAGTCTGTTCAGTGAAGAATCATTTTCAACAAAATTGAGAAACCTCACAGTGTTTGCTGTCTCTTATGGTATTGATGATGTCTCTCCTGTCCAAAGATGGACCATTCTTGATCTTTTCACTGTGTAGAATATTAACTAGACTTCCATGTTTATTTGCTGTTTTGCAACAAATGCAAAAGTGAATAATATTTCTAATCTTTATTTCTTAGTGGCCTAGAAGTTAACATGTTTGCCTGTTGAGATAACGGCCTTGATTCAATTCTTAACATTGAGAATATGTATTCTTATCATTATTATGGCTTTTAAATTGATTTCTGCAAATGCAAGGAATATTGAACCCACCAAAAGCAGTGGTAAACTACTGAATGTAAAAAATTGCATTGTAAAACTACAAAAGGCCAACAAATGTTGGGGTTGGTTTGCAACATCTCGTAAAGGATATGCCACCAATGTTTTAAATTAGTCCTAGGTTTGATCAAGCCTCATAATTATTGGAGCCATTTCATGCCTTTGAGCTTCAGTAATTTGGTGCCATATGTTTTTAGACTAATCTGCACTCGATAGGGAATATAGTCATCATCACAGTGGCCGCTTTGATTTCCCAGGGCAGCAAATGCTATCAGTTGTATGCTAGGCCAATCTGACAGCTTTGGATAAATAAAAAAAAAAATGTCATAGTTGCTTCAGATTTGAATCAGCAACACTGGAGCTGGCAGGCAAACGTGATTTATATTTTGCCACTTTTTATTAGTTTGTCACAAATATACTTATTTAGTCTATCCTCTTCTATCCTGGGGTGTAGAGGTTTGCCAGAGAGATCGCTGGACCTCTTTATCAGCAGTTTTCTTTTTAGCTTTGTTCCATTCCAGTCCTCTGTCAGTCAGAGACTGTCCAATGTTGTCTTCCCAGCAACCCGTGGGTCATCCTAGATGTCTGCTTCCCTGACCTCCCATTCTCTCCCATAATTCTCTCCCATTCTGCATACATGTCCGAATCATCTTGAGTGATCCACTGTGGTTTGTAAGGCTTGTGTTTGAAGCTCATGATGTATTTTCTGCTTACAAACTTTGCCCTTTCTTGTTGACTTTTTTTCCTCAGATACCTTGTTTCTAAAGCCTGAAGCTGGCTTCTATGAGCTGTTGTCGCTTAGCTTGCTAGCTCAGTTAATTAAACCCGAGTGCGCAGCGACCAGGTGACAAACTCCTTGTGGTCCGGATTCACGCCCGGGGGTAGGCAGAAAAGCCACATTTCTCCAGATTTACGGTATCCATCATGGAATCAAGGCCGAAGGGTTGTGATATCCATAGTACCGAGCCAAAGGGTTAACTCATGGTTTCCAGATATTAAAAATAAAAAAAGAGCTGTTTTTATTACAAAATTACACACACCCATAGGTCAGGACTGGCACATAGTTAGAGTATCACATTGATACAGAGTGTTTGATTTATTTTCAGTATTACTTAACTAAATGTTTTTTTTTCTCATAGACCAAGTTAGACTGTTTGAAAAAGACTGGATTCTTGACCCAAAGACAGAAACTATTCTCAGGAAAACAACATGAGTTTGATGAGATTTCACCGCTGACTCTGAAAGATCTTCAGGCTTCTCATGCCTCCAAAGTAGCAACTTCAACTGCTATCACCAAAACATCATCTGCCTCATCATCTTCAGTGACCAGCGGTTTGAACGGGACTTTGAACGTAAGAAAGAGAACATATCCAGCAAATGACAATCTCAGTAGCCAGGTACAAGAAAGAAATGCCAAACAGCAAAAACTAAACGCAGCACATGAGAGGCTTATGGGCATGACTAAAATCAATGGTGTGAGTCCGTCGAAAATCCTGGCTAATCCTGTGCAGCTGACAGCAGAACAAACAAGAGTTCTTGAAGTGATAATGAGAGGGAAGAATGTCTTCTTTACTGGGAGTGCTGGAACTGGGAAGTCATTCCTTCTTAAAAAGATTCTGGGTAAGTAAAATTGTGGGCTTACCCTTAAAATGGCAGTTGTCACGTTATTTTATTGTTTACAGTTGTGATATCTGTACCTTTTGGCCCAGCACGTCTGATTTCAGATGAATCTGAGTTGGTCACCTTTTACGGCCTGCTTGTTATGTCACAGTGGGTCAGTTCTTTTCTTTTTCCCTTCCAAAAATAGGCCTCAGAACCCGCACAGAGAATGAAATTATAGCTGTGAGAATAATCAACTTTGCAGCCACATGTACACAAAATTTAAGACTGGGCAAGTCAGGCATGCGGACTAGCACCTGAGTCCTGAGACAACATCTCACATCCTCCAAGACTGTCCCAAGCTACAACATTTCCAGGCAAAACTTCTGGCCAAGAGAGACACTGGTAGAAGCCAAACTTTACCGGCGGCTCGGTGAATTACAAAAGACTGAAGTTCAAACTAGAGACAGCATTGCACATATAGATAATTTATTTCAAGCGACAAACGAAAGAAGAAGAATGGCTGTGGGGATGAAATTCACTGTTGATTGTTGAGTCCTAAAACAGAATAATGTCAATGCACTAAAGGAGCCAAGTGTGCTAGACTGCCAATATAGTGGCCTGGGCTCAATCCCTTGTAGTGGCAGAATTATTACTTCAGACCTATATGCGACCTGGCTGATCATCCTTATAAAATGTGTATTTGATCATTTTCTGGAAAATGTCAGGTCAGAGCTCCCATATAAATATTACCATTGACCAGGTATGTCCTTTATCCACTTTTGTCTCCAGAATAATTTCTGACATCCTTTATATAAACAGAAAGCAATACAGAATAAAGCCTAAAACAATGAAACCAGTCCTGTCACTTTTGGTTACCATTTTTTAATAAAATCCCCCATGTTGTTAAAAATGTGCCATTTCAATGGTTTGAGATGAATTCTGTCTGTATTCCATAATTGTAGATTTCAAGCTGTACGATAGACATGCCCAACGGAGGCACCTTTTTAGGGGTGCCTGGCTGGTCATGTTATTATTTGTTTCTATATTGAGGCGCTCACACCATTTGGAGGTGACAGGTTCGATTCCTACCACGGTAACTATAGCTTTAGATTTGTATATTGTCTAGTGTGTCCTTCTATCTGTCTGCTTCTTTCTGTGAATGCCGATCAGTACTTTGTCTGTTTGTTGAATCTATAAAAATGTTTTTAACATTCTCCTGTTTTACATTTGTTATTGCGCCTGCAAGTGAGCGAGCTAGAAGACATAAACTTCTTCTTCTTTGCGTTCGGTTTCATATGCTCAGATCAGACCATCAGGTGGGTTGCCTCTATAAACTTGCATGTCAGCTGCAGGTCCTGCATGGTTCTCCATAGCTTGCTCTGGACACTTTGCTTTTGAGGCCAGGTGTCTTTTCGAAGTTGTATATAGAGTGTGCAGGTCTGCAGAATGTGCTGAGGTGTTTGTGGTCCTGTTTGACAGGCACACTGTGGGGACAGTACAATCTTTATTTTATGCATGTGGTAGTTGAGCCTGCGGTGTCCCGTTTGTAGAGAAGACATAAACAGAAGTTTTGTGTTGTATTTTCAGCTTCATATTATTAATTTTACTGTGGCCAGAGGGGCCAAAAATTTTGACTGACATCAAATTTATATATCTTACAAAAGGTTCACTGCCACCAAACCATACATTTGCTACAGCCAGTACAGGAGTTGCTGCATGTCATATAGGAGGGACAACTCTACACTCATTTGCTGGTAAGTTTTCTTATCTGTCCTTTTTTTTTCTTTCATTAATTAAGAAGTTCGAAAGTTTGAAATTATTGTGTGCATCTTTGCAAATCTAAATACACTTAAAATGCAACAGCTTTGAAAAAAAAAATTACAATTATAACATAATAAAGGTTGATAAGGTTACAATTATTTTCTTCCCTCAAACAAAAACAACATGTAAAGAACTAATTATTTCATTGTACTGATATACTTTCCTAACAGAGCCAGACTTTTAAAGAAAATGACCTTGGTTACCAGGTCAACCCAGCCTGAAATGGGTGCAGGTAAATTCCTGAGAAGTAAAGGCAGCTGGCATGAGGTTGCGTCACCCACTAAATGCCGATTGATGCATAAAATATAGGTCTAGCCCTATATGCCCTATACGCCTGGAGGCAGGGAAAAGGGTCCGTTTTACTGAAACACTCAGTTCACAGATAGTAAATTGCTCTAGCAGACTTCTGTTAAGTTATCGGTAAATAGGTAAAACTATAAAAAATATTAAAACTAAAAAACTAACACTATAAACTCAGTCACCATGGGCTCATAAGAGAAACAATGAATAGTAATAATGTGACCCACCATAACAGGCAACAAACAAAGTAGGCATGATGTGAGATCAGCTTATTCATCCCATATAAAATTTTAGCTGAAATCCAAATCCAACAAATCATGCTTGTTTGAGGTATCCTTGCTTCATCCAAGTGACATAAATGTGCCTGTTTATAGCATACCTGCGTTATATCCATGCCTTTTAGCCGACATCCAGCTTATTTGCATCTTTGATATCTGGGTTAGCTAACCTTCCCGGTTGGTTTTAGGGGACATTTGCAGCCTTATGTGGTGATCATCATCCCTGGATCCCCAGGTTTGATCCCTATAGGACATATTTAGGGCAGCTACATGCAGATTGGTTGACCATCAAGGAAAGCCAGGGGTAGAGAGCAAGGGCATTTTCTGCAGTTTGAGGAGGCTTCCATAAATGCAGAGCCAGTACTTGGTGCTCTGGTACTGGACTCACCCAACAATCGTCCACATGACTGCTTAACCCCACATCTGTGTATTGCGCCTTCCACATCACCCAGGCACAGGAGGTGGGCTGATGAGTGCAAAAGTATTTTTGGGCACTGTATCTCTGGGGAGCCACCAACTCTGAGATTGGTTTAGGCCTACATAGGCCATTCTTTATACTGCACAATGTGGACGTTTGGCAGGAGTCTTGCATGATTTTAATAAAACCAGCACTGAGCCAGAGGTGAGATATGGAATGTCTCCTTATAAATATCACAATGGCCTTAATTTTTCCTCATACCTTTGACTGAAATCACTTGGCCACATTTGTGACATATAGTGCTAGACATATGTTTTATCAGTATACCTTAAGAAGAATTTGAAGGCATTAGCCTTACATACATCTACGTGTTAAGAGGGTTCATAAGGAAAGCAGACAATAAGTACTCATTAGTCAGCACTGCATGTCTTAAGAGGCAGTGTTTCACCCAGTATAAATCTTTAAACAATTACCCCCTTTTCCTTCAAATTTCATTTAAAAAAGACAACTCGTCCTTATAATTCTCTGAAATAGTAAACACACAATGTCTACACACAGTTAGTTGCAGCCAGTACATAAGCTATCATTCAGGCGTACTAGGCAAAGACATGTCAGCCAAAAGCGGTCAAAGTTGGAAAAACGTTTTCTGGGGTTAAGAAGGTTAAGTAGGGCTGGTGTAGTTGGTTACCGGATGCTTTACTTGATCACTTTTCTTCTACCTTGTGGTGTAGAGGTTTGGCAGAGAGATCGCTAGACTTCTCAGTCAGCAGTTTTTTTTTTTCTATTAGAGCCCTCAAGCAGATCAAGAAAACTGAACCAACACTGAACTTACATTATCAGATTTTATATTCCCATGTGGGTTCCGGGGCCCCATTGTTGGAAAATGAGAATAGTCCCACTGCCTACCCAAGAGCATGTCATGTAAAAGTCAACTGATTGGGAGCTTCCTTTGAAGTCGGTGTGCATCTGCCTGAGAGGTGAGGAACCAACAGTCTGCACATACACAAGTGAGATCTGTAAAGCAGATGTGTACACAAAACTCAGGTTCTGGAGCAGGACTAAAGTCCAGAAGTGAACGAACACCCAGAACTTCCCGCTGGAGTTTACAGCTGGTGAACAAGAAGAAGAAGATTTTACAGTCATACAAATTCTGTTGTCCAGTAGTCAGTGCTTGTTGTGCAATCTGATCACTAAGCTTCTAATTCAACAGTGAAATTATTACATTTTCTGTTACAGGCATTGGGTCAGGAAAAGCACCCTTGGCTCAGTGTGTGGAGCTGGCATCTAGGCAAAAGGTGGCTCAGCAATGGAGAGCTTGTAAACACTTGGTTATAGATGAAATCTCAATGGTGGATGGGGACCTCTTTGACAAACTAGAAACTGTAGCTAGGTGAGCATAGTAACTGCACATTCTTCTTCTTCTGAATTGTGCCCTCAACCCACTGACTGCCACGATCCCATGTTATGTGATTCGCCGACAGTTACACTCGGCTACTTCAACCCCACCCTGGTATCATAACTTTGTATGCTCGCCGTCATTTAAATATCTCACCATATGTGATCAATGTAGTTGAAGCTCTTAGCCTGTGTATTTCTAAATGCATCTTTAAGGGAAACAGTTTTGTAGTGCTCAGGTTAAATGAAAATTTTTTTTTTTAAATTGCACTCCTATGTTGGTAACCGTTAGGCGACTGTTTTCTTCTTCTTCTTCTTCATGTTCACTGGCTGTAAACTCCAGCGGAAAGTTCTAGGTATTCGTCCACTTCTGGACTGCAGTCCTGTTCCAGAACCAGAGTGTTGTGTGTGCATCCGTTTTACAGATCTGATTAATTTGTATGCAGACTGTTCGTTCCTTGCCTCTCAGGCAGATGCACTCAGGCTTCGAAGGAAGCTTCCAATTAGTCGACTCTTACGACATGCTTTTGGGTAGGCAGAGGGTCTTTTCCTATAATAGGGCCCTGGAACCCACACGGAAAGGCGAATGTTTTGATAATGGTGACCAATCATCAGAACTGGCATGGTGGCAACATTTTTTGGAAAATTTGTGGGTGCCATGGGCGATTTTATTGTGGTTTACAGCTAGGCCATGATATCTGCGTGCCCTTTGGCCCATCACATGCGATTTTGAGAAACTCTTAATTAGTTGTCTTTTACAAAATACTTGTTAACCCTTTGGAGACGACTGAAATATCAGCCCAACACAAAGTAGTCAAACGGACGACTGGGCCGATTGGTCGGCCCTATATAATAGAAGCCTTGATATTGGCTGGCAGGTTTTTGTACCAGCCAATCAGACTGCTTCTAGCATTTCTGGCACATGTGGGCTGTTCATTAACGGCTTTTGAGAGTTTTATGTGTTCTGTAATTTTACATCGATTTTTTTCTGGGGATACCTGTACCAAAAAATGGCAAAAAGGACTGTTGCGTCATAGCAACCAAAACATAGCTGAAGGTAGAAAAATTAAGTAGAACCTTGTGCCAGACGTGTCTGATGGGCCTCCAAGGGCCTTACTTCCCAAAATACAGTTGTTATGACTTATTCAAGCTTCATCCATAAAAAAATTCACCTGCATTTTTCATGTTAGTTATGTTTATTCCTAAGTTTAAAACAAAATTTCTTGCATAAATTATGCAAATCAGAATAGTTAATTTGAATAAATGTTGAGATTTCAGTTTGATTCATAAATATTCTGTTAGTTAATTTAATTTCCTACACGAATATGTATAGTTTTGTATATGTTAATTAAACACTTTATTTTTTATAATTTTTTGTGTATGAACTATGAGAATCCCCTCCTGAAGGCTCCATTTTCTTGGCACCAAAGCTCTAAAAAGGCTCTGTCTCCAAAGGGTTAAAGAACAATGGGTCTGTCCTCCCTCCCCCTCCCCCTCCCCCTCCCCCTCCCCCCAAAAAAAACCACCTGAGAAAGGTAGCCATTCTTATGCCAACACTACTTAGTTGCCTGTTCTGACATGCAAATGCGCCCTGGCACAGAATGTTAAAGTATACAATAGCTGCACCAACTATTACACTAAAAAAGTATTTGTGTATGTAATTTATATGTGTTGATTATGTATATGCCAAACTTACATCAAATTCATCATCATCATCAAGTGCCTTGCCGGCTGAGGTGAGCAATCGTGCCTTTCCACAAACTTTGATCTTCAACAGCGTGTATAAAGTTTGTGTTCTGACCCCCCCATCCCACTTCCATGCCATGACAAAAGGATGTCAAGAATCAACTGGCATTGTCTTTGTCTTTTTTTTACCCACAGATCTTTCTTTTTTGCTATCAAAGGAATTCTAAGGATTTTCCTGCAAACCACATCTCTATGTCCTCTAGAAATTGTTTGGCTTACATCAAATCGCAGTTAGCCAAAAAGTGAAGCAGTTCTCACATGCAATATTTATTTACATATATGTTGACTATTCTTCCAAAAGGATCATTCGGAAGTCAGATCAACCTTTTGGTGGCATCCAGCTAATTTTATGTGGAGACTTCCTCCAGCTTCCTCCTGTAGTTGGACCAGGAGAAAAGCGCAGGTTCTGTTTTCAGGTATGCCAGATTCATTGTTGTATTCACTCTTTTCTGGAGCACATTCAGTGCCCTTTGTTTATTACAAGTAAAATATTGTTTGGAAATTCTTTGTAAACCAAAAGCTAAGGATGCAGGTCCTCTGAGATTAAAGAGTTTGCTAGTCAACGCACAAAAGGATTGTTTAAAACATATTTGGGACAACCATAAAGTTTATGCCAACTTTACAATAGACAGAGGGACATTGTTGTGATTCGCCTTAATCCCCGGGGAAATGACAAGAACAAAGAACACACACACAAAGGACTGATTCTAAAAAGACTACATTCCCCATGTGGAATCCGGGGCCATATTGTATGGAGGTGGAAAAAAAAAAGAATAGACCCACTCTCTCTCACGTACGTCAACTAATTCTTTCCATGTCAATGCACCTGCCAGAGAGGCAAGTAGCCAGTAGTTTGCATACAAAAAAGCCAGATCTGCAAAGCAGATGTTTATGCAAAACTCAGACAACATTTTGCTAAGGGCAGCCAGACAACATTTTGTTAAGGGCGGCCAGGCAACATTTTGTTAAGGGCGGCCAGACAACATTTTGCTGAGGGCAGCCAGACAAAATTTTGCTAAGGGCAGCAAACATTTTCCTAAGTGCAACAGACACATTTTGCTAAAGGCAGCCAGAAAACATTTTGCCAAGGGCACAAGACATTTGTGATGCAGTAATGATAGTTCTCAGTAATAACTAATGAAGTACCCTTTTCCTTCTAACCAGTTTTTGTAATCAATTTTCTCAATCTTATCTCCAGTCTGAGGCTTGGAATAAGAGCATTGAAGTGACCATGCAGTTGACGGATGTAAAGAGACAGTCAGATAAACGTTTCATTGATATTCTCCAGCATATTAGGAAAGGCTCGTAAGTATTTATGACGTGCTATTGGTTTTTTTTTTTTTTTTAAATATCCAGAAACCATGAGTTCTCAACCCTTTGGCTCGGTACTATCGAAATGGCAACAATTCGGCCTTGATTCTATGATAAATACCGTAAAACTGGGAGAAAATGTGGCTTTTCTGCCTACCCCTGGGCGTGAACCCGGACCACAAGGAGTTTGTCACCCAGTCATCCCGAGGTTACGTTTAGCCAGCTATGCTAGCACCCATTTTAAGCTTGATCGATCTGGGAACCCACACAATTAAAAAAAAAAGATTTGACTTTGATGCAGAATCATACAGTGTCTAGCCACTGAACAACCATCACTTCCGATGGTGAATAACCATCACTCCGATGGTGAACAACCATCACTTCCGATGGTGAACAACCATCACTTCCGATGGTGAACAACCATCACTTCCGATGGTGAACAACCATCACTTCCGATGTTAATTTGTCTGTAAAGTAACTATGGCCAATCATTGTTCCACCTTTTTAATAAACTAACTGACTGACTCTTGCAGATGTCCTGAACATGTGTCAGCCGTCCTACAGGAAACAACCAGTAAATGCATACAACGAGATGGTGTACTGGCTACCAAACTTTGTACCCACAAAGTTGACGTAGAGGCAATCAATACTTCAAAGCTGCGTGAGATAAATGGTACAGAGCTTTTTCTTCTTCTTTAGATAAAGAACGTTTCTTTTTTAAATGCCATGTGAACTTCTTCTACTGGCTTTATCCAATTATGTCATTGAATTGTGCCTATTTATAGCATGGCTGCAATATTTGCACTTTTTGGCAGACACATCCAACTTCTTCAGGCGTTTGTTGCCCGGGTTAGCCTTCCCGGTTAGTTTCGTGGGACATTGCACAGCCTCATTGTTGTGTGATCTTTGCTTCCTAATTAAAATTGTGTTACTGGTGCCCTTGGAATTAGAACACTTCGCTTGCTGCTGAAGATGGGGATGGAGTCCTTATGGGAGTGTCCCAAATGCTGTGATGTTGATTCTTAATTTAACATTCTACATTGATAGGGGGTTTCCCCATCCATCAGCCAATCCAGAGCAGCAACAAAGTGATGGTCAACCCTCATGAAAAGGCATGGGGGGGGGGTGGTAAGAACATGAGCATTCCCCACCAGCCAAGGCGGGTTCCATAAATGCAGAGCTCTGACACGATGTTCTAGTACTTGGCTCACCCAAGGAGCTGTCATGTCCTGCTCATGACTTGTAAGCTCATTTCTGTGTATTGAGTCTCTCGCTCATCACAATCTGCATGTGAACTATTAGTGGTGTCTGCTGGAGAAAAATTCATACTTGCTTGCCCAAGTTGAAAAAAAAAAAAGCAGTGGACTCTTTACATGATGTTTTATTTATTTTATACTATGTAGGAGACAGTCGCATGTTTGCATCATCTGACACTGACGAAGCTTATGCGAAGATGCTGAATACATTATGTCCAGTGCCACAGTACCTTGATCTCAAAATCGGCGCTCAGGTAGGAGATATGAATTAGCACAATAATGGTACTTTGTTTTCTTTCTTGTCTTTTTACATGTGTAAGGGTTTGCACATTGTTTAAGAAATTTGACAAGGCAGATGTGGTCAAGGTCCTTTGGGAACAAGCAACGGAATCAGTAGAGAAACAAGATTAGTATGGCCTGGAGAGAATGAGGTAACTGTGTGTAACCAGAGGGTCTGGCTGGCTCAATACACTCATAGGAAAGGCAAGATGGACATATAACCAGATTGAGAACTGTACCATCTGTATTGGAACTCTGCGCTGGCTGCTGAGGATGAGGATGGAGCACACATGGGAATGCCCCGAGTGCTGTAATGTCAATTCTTGACTCAACTCAACTCAAGAAATTTTGATTTTTTTAATGTGGTCCTCAATTTATTTTATTTGATTTCTTGTGAACACCGATCATGGAATTGTTTTTTTGTTTGATTATGAAATTAGCTGTGAAAACTTGTAATTTATTTCTCTGTACTTGTTCAGGACATTCCCTGTGGATTCTGGTATCCCATTTTGGGGAAAGGGAAAAAACAACACAACTTTCTGAAAAGCATGTTGAAGCAGGCAACTACTTCCTTCGAAGTAGGAGTGCATCTGCCTGAGGAAAAAAACCAACGGTCTGCATTTAAATAAGCCAGGTTGGCAGGTTGTCTTGTGGTTTACAGCAATGCCTGATATCTGTGCCTTTCCTCCCAAAATGTCAGATTTCAGTAAATTCTGGAACCCTTCTTCTTCTGCCTTTCTAGCCCCCAATAGAGCATTGGCCCCCAACCAGCTCATGCCAAGTCATGCTATGGCATGCAGCTCTCATGTCCTCCCCATCTGTTTAACTTTGCTCTCTAGCTCCCTTCTCCGTGTGTTTTTTGATATTCTTTAATTTCTATGCCCCTGTGGGTTCGAGTGCAAAGACATTCTATCTAGTCATATCGTTCTCAGGTTTTCTCAGCTTATGTCCATTCCAACGCCAGCATCTTTTCTCCACCTCTTGGTCCACTGGAACTTGTTATCTCCCAAAGCTCTACATTAGTGATTCTATGATACTATTTAATTCCCTTTATTCCCTGCAGGCATCAGTTAATGAATGTTTGTAGTTTTTTATTACGCACGCAGGGATAAAGTAACAATTCAATTAAGGAGATGTTTATTAATGAACTATCTGGACCTTTTGAACATGCATAGGTTATGTATTCCGTCGTGTGTCATTTAATTCCCCAATAGAACATCTTGTACCTCATATTATGAGAAGGAAAACTTGATTCAAGAACTCATTAACAACTGACAAGACTGATTGAGAAAAAGCAAGGGGAAGGCAAAGTGATAAATCTGGATGAATTGGCCATGTGGGCAAGGCAAGAACATTGACCTGATACATGGTTCTAGTGATCGTGTGAGATGATGGGTCATGACAGTCTGCACTTATTAACACGCTGTCATCATATACTGTCTGTGGCTTAGGCATTGCAACACACTTTACAATGCCGGGGTGCCGGGTTCAATCCCAGCTGCGGCCCTTGCGTTGGTTTTGACAATAGTATCGAGAAGCCGACAATCCAGAAAGCAATCACAAACTACTGGATGTAAATTTGTCTATACAAACCACAACAGCCAAAAAATGCTGGGGTTGGTTGTACAATGTCCTCTAAAGGATACGCAACTAACTATCATCAAATACTAATGCTTTTAGGCCGTGTCTTTCCCACATATTGCTCCTCGTATTTGTAGATTCATTTGGTCTCAGGTGTGTTGATGTACCAGAGTTAGATTTCTATGGTGTGTAGTTTAGAAAAAGCCTGTTCTTGTGGCTTTCAGTCAGTGGTATGAGAGTTGCATCGTGGAATAGTTTGGAGAAAATTTTTTTTTTAATTTCGGATGGGTTTTTTTCTTATTTCTGATGTGAAAAAAATATTCAGTTGATTGTATTTACAAGTTTTAGGTTATGCAGTGATTTCACCTCCTCACTGTTTTTGCAGTCTTCCTTTTGTAGTCCACACCGTGTGGCTTAGTCATGTCTATCCACAACCTTCTTTCCCTTGTACTTTCAATCATTTATGTCACAGGCGATGATTTGCCTTACCATGATGCCAAACTGGCTTACAACTTATCTCTCTGTCTCTTTCTGCTTCTTTACTTGCAGTCTTTTTTCTGTACTGACATTGAAAACATATTGACCCAGGTAATGTTATGCAAGAACCTGGATGTGCAGCGTGGTCTTGTAAATGGTGCTCGAGGTGTGGTCATTGGATATGAAGCAGGTAACTAGATATGAATTTTTACATTACTGTAATTTGTTATCTTGATGAGTGTTGAATTAATAATTGACATCACAGCACTCAGGACAATCCTATAAGTGCTCTGTCCCCATCTAGATCAGCAGCAAGCGAAGAGTTCCAGTTCTGATGGTCTGGAGAAAATATTCGAAGGACAGTAACTACGCAGGACCTCTAAAGCGATGCTTGCCATTCTGCATGGAGCATGCTTGTTTCCATCTTTCTCACCATGCTCTGTGAGTCAGTTACAGTTACGACATGTGGATACAGCTGGTTCTAAATCCAACGGAAGACATATCGTATGCCAGACTTTGTTGAACTAAGTGACATCCATTCGCTTTTGCTCTGAACCCCCATGCACTTTGTCTGCCTCTCAACACAGACCCACCTGGACGGGAATTTTAAAAATCATTTGTTGAACTTGTGATTCTGCAGCATCTCCTGGCCAGGCTCTGTCTGCCTTCAGTGTGACTAGAACCCTACACAAGGTCTGATTCTGCAGCATCTCCTGGCCAGGCTCTGTCTGCCTTCAGTGTGATTAGAACCCTACACTAGGTCTGATTCTGCAGCATCTCCTGGCCAGGCTCTGTCTGCCTTCAGTGTGACTAGAACCCTACACTAGGTCTGATTCTGCAGCATCCCCTGGCCAGGCTCTGTCTGCCTTCAGTGTGATTAGAACCCTACACTAGGTCTGATTCTGCAGCATCTCCTGGCCAGGCTCTGTCTGCCTTCAGTGTGACTAGAACCCTACACTAGGTCTGATTCTGCAGCATCTCCTGGCCAGGCTCTGTCTGCCTTCAGTGTGACTAGAACCCTACACTAGGTCTGATTCTGCAGCATCCCCTGGCCAGGCTCTGTCTGCCTTCAGTGTGACAAGAACCCTACACAGTCTGATTCTGCAGCATCCCCTGGCCAGGCTCTGTCTGCCTTCAGTGTGACTAGAACCCTACACAGTCTGATTCTGCAGCATCCCCTGGCCAGGCTCTGTCTGCCTTCAGTGTGACTAGAACCCTACACAGTCTGATTCTGCAGCATCCCCTGGCCAGGCTCTGTCTGCCTTCAGTGTGATTAGAACCCTACACAAGGTCTGATTCTGCAGCATCTCCTGGCCAGGTTCTGTCTGCCTTCAGTGTGATTAGAACCCTACACAGTCTGATTCTCTAGTTTACTTTGTTATCTAATATAGACAAATTGCCATCGTTTTTATATTCAATACTATAAACTAGAGAATCAAAAAGAGTTGTGGATATACCAAATATATATATATATTTCATTAAAAAATTGTTTAGAAACATTAAAAGAGTTGATAAAAGAAGTTAAAATAATAAAAATAAATTGCGAGCAAGTATTTTGGCCATATTAAACAGACGAGGTACAAATAAAAACCATACTGAAGGAAAAAGGCCACCTGTCTAAGCTTCCCATCTAGGCCAACCCCAGCTTCTCTTCTTCCCCACCTCCTCCTCCTCCTTCTGAGAAAATCATATTCAGATCTTCTTCTTTGTTTCTTGTGTTCACCGGCTGTAAACTGTGGCAGAAAGTTCTGATTGTTCGTTCACTTCTGACTTTGGTCTTCTGGTTTAGAACTTGAGTTTTGCATGCCCACTTGTTTTACAGATCTGGTTTATTTGTATGCAGACTGCTGGTTCCTAATCTCTCTGGCAGATTCACAAAAACTTTGAAGGAAACATCCCTAATTAGTAGGATTTTACAACATGCAGTGGATCTATTCTTCTTCCCCCACAATGGGGCTCAGGAACCCACATAGGGGCTTAGCAACCCACATAGGGGCTTAGGAACCCACATAGGGAGAGATTGAAAAATGAACACACCAATAAATATTTCCTCAAAAAACATGAATAGAGCATACCAAGTCACCATCTATCACCTATGCACTGGTTATTGCAGACTCAGCAGACACTGACAAACATCAGGGGTGAGCCGAACGGCTCTCTGCCAGTGTCTTGTGCTGACCAGACACCCCCCCCCCTCCCCACCAGAACATGCCTTGCAAGTCTGTCCTGTCCTAAAGTAGCTGCAAAAACTACAGCCACTTTCAGCAGACCTGACAACTAAGCTTTGGGTAAACCTAGGAGGCTTTAAGTTGACAACTCAGTTTATGACCCACAGTGGATTAACCCTGTCGACACAAAACCCACACTTCTGGTTGGGTCCTTTCCCCCATCAATGACATTTTACCAGGAATGGTTACATTTATTAAAAATAGAGGAGGGGGGAGGGGGGGGGGGTGTTTTTGTTTGAGTGTGAAATATGTGAAAAATGGCTGTTCCATTAGAAATTTTTAGTTACCCAGCGACAGTGTTGTGGAGTCAAGTATGAGTAACCATCTAAATTTTTGTTTATGGGCAAAGAGAGGTACTACTCTTATTCTGTATGAAATATATTTTTTGTGTGCCAAAAGAATAGAATTGTTCAGGTTTTTTCCTGATTGATGTGTGTGAAATGTTAGTTTTTAAGGACTTTTTTTTTTTTGTCTTCTCGGAAATTCCCCAAATATTGGTCATTGGCTTTGTTTTTGCTAGGTCACTGGGGCACAACGTTTAAGCACATGACCAGAGATTGCTGAAGAAAAAAAGATACTGAAAACTTTTTTGATCATTGTAAGATATATCATGATTCATCTAATTCATACCAAACACCTCATTCTTCGTTAGATTACCCAGTGATAAAGTTTGCCTGCAAAGTGACTGAAGTGATTAAATCTGTGAGATGGGTGTTCAAGATTGGAGGGGGCAACACCATCGTCAGGAAGCAGATACCGCTGAAGCTAGCATGGGCTCTCTCAATACACAAAAGCCAGGTTGGTGGTTGATTATGATGAATTAAATGAAAAATATCTGTGTTCTGAAATAGGTGAGTGCTCGAAGACAGTTTGTCACAAATGTCAGAAAGAGACATTTTTTAAAATTGTATTATGATAGGCTGTACATACCGGCATCTCGGTAGCACCTACCAAGGCTTTCACCCGATGCGTCTTCAAAACCTGACTCTGAAAGGCGATACAGGACTAGAGAAAAACAATTTTTAAAAAGTTATAAGTAAGAATCTGAAACATGTTCTGGCCACTCCAAAGGTCTCTGAAAAAAGAGACAGAGGAAGACAGAGCGAGAAGATTCTTGACAGCCTTGAACTGATACATGCCATTGAAAGACTGCAGATTGTGGAGAGACATAATTGCACACGCTAGTCTGCAAAACACTTGATGATGATATGTGCCTGCATGAATTGTGCATTTGATTCTTGTTTCATGGCTTTTGTGCTTCAGGAGGACTCACATTTTTCTGTATAGGAATATTCTATAACAAACTGCATTTAATGGGTGACATGATGAATGTCATGCTAGCTGCCTTTCTCCCAGGACATTTTCTGGTACCCCTCTTATTTCTCTCCCCCCACCCCAAATAAGTCTCGCCTCGTAAGCCTGATGCCGCAACTGGCGTGAAAAGGGACCTTTACTTCACTTTTTATTCATCATCAATCATCATCCTGTAAGTTGTTGATGTTGACTGCCTGATTAGCTCCCACCATCCTTAACATGCAAATGCAATAGACTTCATGGTTGCATGAAAGATCTCATTTCCAGTGATTGTATCTTCTTTTCAAGTTTGGCTATTAAGGTCCAAAGAAGACATTATCAGTGGTGGGGAGAGATAGCAACTCTGTCAGACTCCTACTATTATCAGAATCAGCTTCCTATTTGTCCATTTAGCACAACAGCACTACTGGGTTTTGCATAAATCTTTTATTGCCCTCCTCTCTGCCCAAAGCACTTGGGTTTGAATCCACGCCGAGACAGATTAAAAAAAAAATTTGACCTTGGCTATCATGTTGACCTAACCTGAAATGGGTACCATTTTAATATCCCGGAGGTAAAGATTGTTTGTATGAATAAATTATTACTTGCCTAAAGAAATACAACACAATTTTCCAGACAGAAAACTGCAATCAAATGTTTTTGCCTATTTTGCTTGTTTCTCGTTTGTTCATATTAGTGATTAAATATGTTCATAAATCTTTAATATATGCTCCTTACTTTTTCAGGGCATGACCCTCGACTGTGTGGAGATATCCCTAGCACGAGTCTTTGAAAGTGGCCAGGCATATGTGGCTCTATCCCGAGCCAAAAGCTTAGAAGGACTACGGGTAGTGGATTTCAACAGAAGCTGTGTCCGTGCCGATGCCAGCGTCTTGAAATTTTACGACCAGCTGGAACTGAAACATCGGATGTTACATAATGGCATTGAGGATGAGAATGAAATTTTCCGGCCTAATCCCAGCATATTCTCCAAAAAGTGATAGTCTGCTTATTTAAATTATACTTTGTAAGTGCAATAGATGTGAGAATTCAAGCGGTTTTTGTGTAATTGACATGATTGATAATTCATTTGGGTTCCTGCAGGTCAACACATCTGGGGGAGGGTGTGTGGCTATGTTTGCTTAGCGAGTTTGAAAACTGTAAAGTGAATTTAACTCCTCATGTCACCCTGAATTCAAATTTAGGGTTAACAATAAATTTATCTTAAAATTAGCATGGGTGGTTTCAAACTGAGATTTTTAAAAGTAAATTTAAAAAAGAAAAGGGAGAACCCTTCTGATGCTATTGATAGTTGATATGACCAGCATAACACTGGCCACTTTTGCCTTCCATGATATTTCTTGGCGCCCATTAGGCTAGTGTGACACAAGAACACAGGTTTTTTTGTGTTTGTTTTTTAATGCGCCAAAGTGGATTCCAGTCCTAAACTTTTATACCTCAGCAAAGGATCTAACTACTGTGACTTCCTGTGAGATTTTTAAGTAGCATAAGTTTTATTATGGCAGGTTTTAGAAGTTTTTGACTTTTGTGTGGGCAGTGGATAATTATTGGCTGACAAGGTATCTTTAACCCCTCACCTCTTGTATCACTGTTGTCTTAGGAGATTAGTAGGCATTTGCTCAGCCAGCCACAGTCTAGGGATGAGATCATCATCATCAAGTTTAACTGTGAAAATTATCCTCAGCTGATGATCCGGGGGTCATAACTTTAATATCGTGAGTGATCATGTTTAATGTGATGTTCACTGTAGGTCGCTCTTTTCCATTGTTTTTTACCATAGTTTTTTGTGTTTTGAATGCTAATGTTTAAACCATACTCTGCACACCCCCTGTAGACTTGATCCACTAGGCAAGTCCTGCTCGCTTTCTGCTAGTAACCCTGTGTCATCCGGATATCTCAGGATTGTTTATTGTTTTTGCAATTAATGTTCAGTCCAGGAGATTCCTCATCTTGTTTTTAAAATGTTTTCTGTATATTTGTTTAAAAGGCTTGGGGATAACACACATCCCTGATGTAGTGCTCTTTTTTATCTCTATCTGTGGTGAGGCGATGTTGTTGTGTCTGACTGTTGCTATTTGTTCCCAGTATAGGTTACTAATAATAACTTTTTAAATTACTGTTACTCGTCGTTTTTTGTGTTTTGGCTGTTGCAAAACTGAGCTGGCTGTTGTCCAACTGTTGACCAAGTAATAACCTGGGCATTTTTACCGTCAATGTCTGTGTTGGCCGCTACCGCATGTTGATCACGCGCTGACCTTGTCTTGGCTGTCTTTGACACACTTGTTGAATGTTCGCTGACTACAGTGATTTTATGGAGAAGTCTTTAATGTTGAATTTGCATCCTTAGTTTCCGATTCCTCCTCAGAAAAAAAAATCTCACATTTGTCAATAATCAGTGGAATGCCGTTGCTGAAACTGCATGTTGCAAATAACCCCACACAAGGTTACCAGATCAGCCCACTCTCATGTCTCCTCTGGCAAAAACTACCCACTTTGTGAGATAAAACGAGTGAATTTTTGACACGTTGAGGGATCTGTAAGACGGTACTCGCTCGCTGTGTTCAACTTGTTATTTTCCTCGACATAAACGTTGGTCTGAGACTGACAAGAGCACAAATTTCAGTTTGTCCAGGATTTACTTAACGCACATGACAGCATGTACAAGACCTACATAATACCTCAAACTCCCTCATCTGTGGCCTAATCCATCTTCACCTACGGCCGTTAGTCGATCCACACTATTGGAACTGACAAGAGCATGAATTTCTGTCTAAGATTTACTTAATGCCCATGACAGCATGCACATCCAAGACTTACATAACACATAATCATCATCCGGGACACCTGCTCTGCCCTAAACCACTAGGTCCAAACTTGTTTTTCGTCCACATCACCACTACTACTGCGTCTACTTTCCTCTAATTCCCGTTGTAATGTTCAGACAGGACAAGCCTCCATTATATCCTTTCCTTATAATCCTATATTTAGGAGTCATGCAATTAGCTTTTTCATGTTGCAACCTGTCAAAGGCTTTCTAGTAATCTATGAAACATGCATAAATACTCATTTAGATTTCAAATGTTTTTCCATCAGCATCTTTAGACAAATTATGGCTGCCCTAGTGTCACTATTTTTCTGAAATCTGAACCGTTCCTCAGAGACTTCAATATTTATTTTATTTTGAATTCTTTCTTGTATGATCTTGAGAAGTATTTTAGTTATATGACTCATCAAACTAATTGTTTTGTATTCTTCACACTCAACAACTTTTAACTTTTTTGGCAGTGTGATGAAAATAGACATTTTAAAGTCTTTTGGAAAGTATCCAGTATTATAAATGTGATTACAAATTTCAGTGATACTATGAACACCAGAGCTGGATAATGGTTTTATCATTTCCACTGTTATTTCGTCAGGACTTGTGGCTTTTTCATGCTTCGTATTTTTAATAACTTTCTCCACTTTAGCTTTTTAAATCTTTGGTTCATTGTGAAGATTAAAGAGTTTCTCGTTTGATGCCTCTGTTATCCCAGAATAGATCCTCTGTATATTCAGTTCACGTTGTGATTACTTTTGTTCTCATGGGCAGTTCTGCTTGATACTGTCTTTTAAGTCTTTTCCCCTGATGGACAAAGCTGCTGCATTTGAGACACCCCAGTGCCAAATCATCTAATCTTACTTTCACTGAATGTAACTGCATACTATTAAACTTCTCCATCTGGATCATAGTTTTAGTGCCTCTTCTATAGCACAGTATCTGTATTGCAGTTTTTGTGTGCATCTCCAGGATTGGTGCAGTTCTCATGGATCCTGTGATGAGTCTAAGGGCTTGATTTTGCACTCTGTCTAACGATTGTAGATGGGAATTAGCAGCTGATGACCAAGCTGTTGCACCAAACTGCAGGTGGGATCTTATCCCTCCATTATGAACTATCTTTAAGGTTTTTCCATTTGCTGCTCAACTTGTACTTGCCAGTTTCCTAAGTAGTCCTAGTCATCTTCTGGCCTTCCCTTCTGCATTTTCTATATGTGTGCTCCATGTGAACCTTTTATCAACCGTCACTCCAGAATAAGTGGGAAAGCTTTCTTCCTTCCGGAAAGATTTTCTTAGGTGAATACTAATAGCTTTGCCATTGTGGTGTGTTCATCAGTATTCAATATATCAAAGTGCCAGATAATCTGCATACAGCTTTCACTCCTAAGGGGGGGGGGGGTCTTTCACCGGGTCATTGATATAAAGAAGAAAAAGAATTGGATAGATAACTCCACCCTGTGGTATTCCTTACTAAAGCAACACTTTTCTGCTCTGCAGACCATCAAGAGTGGCTCTGATTGGGTCCATCTTATCATGTTTCCTTAGACTCTACTTCTCTTCAGTTTTCCAATGAGGCCATCTTTCCACACTTTGTAGAAAGTTTGTTTGAAGTCAACCCACACCACCAGGACCTTTTTCTTATCTTGGAAGACTCTTCTGCAGCTTATGATTGATAAGTGACTTGGTCTTCTGTGCTGTAACATTCTCTAAATCTAAACTGATTCAACAAGATCTGCTCAGATTCTAAGTGCCATTTCAGTTTCCAGTTGATAATTCTCTCCAGTGTCTTTCCTACTCAGCTTGTGAGATTGATTAGTCAGTAGCTTGTAGAATGGGTCTTAATTTAAAAAAAAAAATTTTGTTTTGTTTTGTATGGGTATTGTTATGGCTTCTCATTTGTCCAAACGAAATTTCACAAAAAGCCTGAATTTGCCATCTTGCCTGAATGTATCATCTGTCTGAAACGTGATGCTTCTTTCTGATTGGTTGAGACGTTTATTGTTCTAACGAAGTGGGCGGTGGAGCTTTCCACAGGTAGCGGGCTGCTGTCGCCATCTTGGCTGAACAAAAAATCCATCTGAGAATTTAGTGATCGTTTTTGATTGGTAGAAACGTTGTTGTCATGATGTCGGCGTTGGAACTTCCCACAGGTAGCGGGCAGCTGTCGCCATCTTGGCTGAATAATAATCTGTTTGAAAAGTGTTATTCTTGTTGGTTTCGTGTTGCACAGTTGAAAATTTCTCAGAGTCCATTTGTTTGAAGAGTTTGAAATATAATTCTTGATAATCTCCAAGTGGTGGTTGTAAAAATCCAAATGAAATATGTTTCACAGTATCGACACAGACGGCTGTGGAACCTTCTGCAGTTGGAGGTGACAATTCGCCATCTTGCCTAAACAGTTTGTTTGAAGAGTTAAGAAATCTAATCAGTTTCACTGTAGCGGTCTGCTTGGTCTGATTAAAGTGCTTGACTTCCATCCAGACACAGTCGATAGCCTCTAATTCTAGATCAAATCTACAGGAATATTTAAGAGAATTTGAGATATAAACTACTATGTCTGTCTCTAATTTTTTCAGTGTGTCTTTACGAATTACTGTAAACACACTAATGGAGATTTCGTTTACGTTAATTTTGTCGTTGAGGTAACTTTCGGTAATAAAAAAAAACACGAAATTGATTACAGAGCCTGACTGACAACTTGGATAGTTTGCCTAATAAATGATAAATATTTAGATAACCTAAATGGAGGCCCTGTTTTTTAAGTCACTGAATACGGCTTTGTACTATACTTTGAAAAACAATGATATTATTTGGATAAATTAAAGATTATCTTTATAGTAGACATTCCTATTCAATAGGTTAGGGATGTGTCTCTGTTGCAGCGACATCATGAAAGCATGATGCAATGTTGCAGGGTTGAACTGCATCTGATGCTAAACATTGTGACTCCAGTGATTATCTGGATGCACACTAGTGTGCACTGAAGGGTGGCTACTGCGAGCCTGACCGATAGGCCCTACACTGGATGCAGACATTTGGGGAATGACACGATCGTCTAAGGGCGCTGCTTTGGCTTTTACCTGAGAAGACTGGTTTACGGGTAAAAGACATCATAATTTTCTGCATGAGAAACAGACTGTTGCTAATAATGCACAGGGATATGTC